TCTAGTTTCGATTTTGAAAAACACAAACTGTTTGGGGTCTACGGTGGCGTAATTGATACTCATACTGTTGGTTGCGGTATTCTGACAAATTTGAAGAAACGAGCTTTGATTTGGGAGTTGTGGGTTGAGAAACCATCTTTAATTTCTCCTGGTTGAGGAAAACTCCGTGGCGACCAGCTCAGTCAAATGGAAGCATTTCCTGCGAGCTCAGCTCCAGATTGTGAGACTTGTGAGACTTGTGAAGAACTTGTTCCAGGTTGCTTTTTGTTCTTTGGAACATGGCCGACACAGAGGCGGGGCGGCGCATTTTGCAGCTTCGATCACGGGACTATTTCACCAGGTGAGCATGCCGGCGACGCCTGCGTTTCGGGTCCGACACCCTGATTTTCCGATCAACATGATTACTTGTTTTTTAATATTGCCCCTATTAAGTAGGCGCCTACTTAATCAAGTAAGGCGACTAGTTCGCTACTAGCAATAGGGAGCTCTCAGCTAGGACGCAGGATAGCTCACGCTTCCTTGAAGAAGCGCTTTGGTTCCTAGATGGGACAGTTGATTGAAGAGAATGTTTTGCATTTAAGCCAGTAGGAACGTGTTTAGGACCTAACAGAGCTACTATAGCTAGTAGCCTGGATACCTTTTCCTCTAGCGACCTACCCCTGTTCCCCCTGTCTTAAAAATCAAGAAACAATTGAACATGCAACATCTATCCTGCATCATCCTGCCTTTTGCGTGGAAGATTTGCTGATTTTCTGAGGCGATAGCGGCAGACCCTTTCGGGATTGATCTCTCGCTGGAGCTGCTTTCAAAGCTCCCAGCGGTCGAGCCGAGGCTGAGCTCGCCATGTCCAAAGCTGCACCATGCTGTTCCTGATCACAACTTCTTCCAACAAAAAGACATCTTCCTGCTTCTGACAGAAGCCAAGACCAAAAGATCAGTGCAGGTTGCATGTTTTTGTATTTTAAACTATGCTGTGCTCCGTTGATACAAGAGTCTCCGAAGAGTCTTTTCAACATTTGGATTGGCACCTCGAGGACAAAGGCTAAGGGGTCGGGCTGATGTTTGAGGTCTTCAGTGTTCAGCCGGACGCATGAATCTTTCACTGTCCAGGCCTTCCATGACTTCAGGTTGGGCGCAAGAAAGTATTGGATTTGTTGGAAGGGAAGGAACATATCTTTTTCAAACTCTTTGTTGACTGCCATTCTGAATTTTGCAGATGTGACTCCCCAATTCAAAGCTAATTCTTTGTGATTGCGATCAGTGAATCTCGTTTTGTATGCGTGACAGTGAAGTGTCTTTGTACGCCAGGCTCTTCCCCTGGATTCAGTCCACCAGTCAGGTATCCAGCAAGTGGATGTAGTTTTAGGATGGGTAGATCTTCTAGATAATGTAAGGGCCACTTAAAATCTTCAAAGTCTTTGTGATGACTTCAAGCACATCCTTTCGACATCTCATCATCGCTTCCTCATTGACTTGGAGTTCTGCACTCGGTAGGCAAGCTGGCCATGAGAAGAGCAAGAGGCAGGCGACAGCATATTGTTTAGAAGCATTTAAGAAGATCTCAGAAACAGGATGACTGTCTTACAGACACGCCCAACAAACGCGGCCTTTTGGATTGTCCCGAGTGGTTCTCCAACTCTGTCAAAATCACAAGTTTTGGACTGCTCTTGGCCTTGTGTCACAAGGGTGCCAGCCTCATTCGAGGGTGCTTTTTTGTTTGGATCTGCATGTGAATGCCAGGGGCTTCGGGTTATGTATCTTCAAGGCAGTGCGACTTTCAGATACTCAGAGAGACCGATAAGAAACCTTGCCACGGGTGTTTTCTTGTTTGTGATGACCCGCAATTGCGAAGCCAGGCTCGGACAAAGTCATCTGAGCTGATGGAGAAGGCACCATGTTTCTACAGATGAAAACTGCTTTGCGACAACGGTTTGCTTTACCGTTTCCAGGTCCCTCGTCCGGCATCATTTTGCTATGCCCTGAGTGTTCCCGGCCGTTGCCCCGGAGAGCCAAGTCAGTTCGTTGTGACTTGTTGTAAATAGAAAGGTTTTAAGGCTCCCTAGTCTCCGGCGTCTGATAGACCACATTCTGGCTGCGCTGTGTTTGTGAGATACAGCTGAGCATGCTTGCATGTTTGCTCAAGTGACAAGCTTGCGGCAAATGCTCACAGAAAAAGCTGCATGGAATTGGTGGAGAGACTCTATTGAAATGCCACTGCCCCACTGCCTGGTAGCGACCGCTGTGAAATGGTATGAACACTTTTGACTTCAGGTTTGGGCGATGGTTTGGGGAAAGTGCGGCAAGAAGGATTGGTAGCTACACTTGAATTTGTCGCAAGCCTCGAACTAAAACCCAATTTCTTTTGGTCTGAAAGTGATGTATCAATCGCGTTCCCAATTACAATTATGTAGCTATGCGAACGAAGTGAGTTAAAGGGGGTGTGGGGGGGGGATGGTTGCGAGCAGGCCAATCTCGGAGAGGCTGACCCAGAGCCTGGTCGGGGAGAGCGAACAAAGAGATGGCCCGGAGGTAATGAAAAATGAGTGGTTTTTGGGGTGTTGTGATGCCGGTGATATAATTGACGGCGAAGAGTGCATCATTAGCATCGTGAGGGGCTCAGGAGACCATGGAAAGAGAAGAGAAAGAGATTGTAGATGCTGCCAAGCTTAGCGTTGCTGGGGGGGCGCCGTTTTTTAGTTGCCGGACAGAAGAGGGCACTCCCTATGTGGTGGGCGTTCACGTGGATTGGGGGTTGTTGAGGGCAGGAGAGAGAAGAGACTGCAGCGGGCAAGTGTTGGAGGCGGAATACTTTGAATTGCTTAGGGGTACCCATTTTTATCCGTGGCAAGGTCTAGGTGAACTATTTTGTACTTGTGAGATTGAACGTTGCATCCGTACCACGGGTTGACAGTTTGGGCCAATTGAAGCGGCCACCAAACTACATTCAAAGCTTAAATGAGAACAAGGGGACATCTAATCACGAAAGCCAGCCGTCAACTCACTTGAAACATAGACCAACACACCATACCAAACCTTCCCCGGACAACAGGGGTGCCCTTTTTCCCCTCCACCACGCCCCGACATCCAGACAAAAAAGGCACCCGGTCCCAGACCTATGTATTCTACTGTCTATTCACACCGCTTCGCGTTCGAAGCCGCCCGCACCGACTTTGAGCAAACAGCTCCGCATATGCGATTGTTCCCCCCAAAAAACATCAAAAACCACATTCTCAATACCATTCACCTCATCCAGTCGGACTGGGCACACGACCGAACCCATCCACGATATCAATCGTACAGTATCCCGCGGTTTGCCTAGACGTTTGCGATTTCTGCGATGTCCATAACGCAGTCTCCCCTGGCCGGCATAACCGGCATCGCATATCCATAGTGCAGTGCCCCTTGGCTTGCCGAGACGTTTGCGATGTCAGTTATGCGATCTCCCCCGACTAGCGTAACAGGCATCGCCAACATTTGGTCCAATTTTAATCACTTTTTCAAAAACAAGCACAGCATTTCTAGGAGAAAAATGCACCCCCCCAAGCTAAAGCTTAGGATTTATCAAACAGGATTATCTAGCAGGATCCTTGCGAGGTTTACACGAGCCTACACAACGCCCTCGGCACCTGCGGCGCGGGCGGATTTCCATTCTTTCTCAAATGACGGCCATATCCACCCACGTCCGGCTCCTCTTTGTCCACTCCACCTATATAGCCTATATACATATATGTATCCTCACAAAAGCCTGCCGATAGCCTCGCCCATAGGCCCCCCACGATGATTTTTGCTGACTGATTAGCAACGCGCAGCAGGCAAACTCATATAACATATTTGAGGGTGCCCTTGTTCACCGCCAAAGCACTCCTGAACCAGGACGGAAAAGGGCTATCACTTCATCTCCAATATCAACTTCACCACTTCCGGCTACTCTTTGTCCACTCTACTATACCTATATACTTATATGTATCCTCACCTAGCCTGCCCATTGCCTCGCACATGGCCCCCCCACAGCCGTCTTTGCTCACTGACTCGCAACACGCCGCAGGCAAGCGCCCCTCACTTCCTTAGGGGTGCCCTTTTTCACCTCCAAGATGCCCCTGAACGGGACGAAAAAAGGGCACCCCCGCCAAACCTATGTATTCTACTCTCTGTTTCTACCCCCTATCAGTGTGGCTGCGATGTCAACTTCACCCCCATGAAAGTATTCTTTGCCTGATGTTGGCCAATCACTTCATCTTGCACGCCAAGTCTTTGGCCAGGCTCGCCCTGAGGGCACCCCTACCCCAGAGGCTGGCTTTCGTCCCCACCCTTCTCAGGTATATTATACATGCGTGAATCTCTGCGCAAATCGGTGCGTTGGCATAGCAAAGATCTTCAGAGCCAAAACATTGATCAGCATCATGGCTGAAAGCCTAACCTGCCTTTAGACATTCCATCAGGCAGCATTGTCAGTATGGTACGCAACTTACTCTACAGTGAGGGCCACCAGGTGTAGAGGGGTGTGATTGTCCATGACTCCATGGTGTTGCGTTTTGAACAGGCTTGCTCATGAAGATTTGTAAATGCCGAGCGAAAGGTGCATTTTTTGATTTGTGCAATTGCAAGGCCCACAGTTGACGTCTACTTCGAGCTTCGCTCAGCTGCAGGAGCGATGAGTGTTCTTGGAACGGTTGATAAGTGAGTAGTGAGTTGGACGAAGATTGGCCGTTTTGACCTTTGTACATCGCTAGTAGGGTGGAGGCCATCGCTATTAGGTTCATACCACGATGTCCCGATGTCAGACAGTGTGATTTTTGGGAGCCACCGCCGGTCGCTCCGATCATGGCAGCTGCACTACCAAGAAAGAACCCATTGAACAAATCCTCGTGGACTTTGGTGCCAGACTCGTCGTGCGGCTGTCTCTTCGACCGAATACTTAAGGGTAATTTGCCTAACAAGGCTTAACTTTGCCTGTCAGTTGATAGCACGTTCCTTTGGCGATTTGGGCGGATCGTTGACAGACAAACCCTCGGAGTCAGAAAATCGAGCCGTTTTCTCAGGAGCCAAGACAGATCTCTTCCGCTGAGATACCAGAGGTGGGCACAATTTATTCCGTGACCTCAGTCAACTGTTCATATTGACTGACACATGGCTGGAAAGTGGAATTGCAGCTTGTCGAACCTGCTACAATCCTTGTGGCTTAGGGCTTGCGCTGCCCAGCGCCAGCCTTAGATGGTATTTGATTTGCTGCTGGAGCCGCCTCGACGCTGCGGAGGGTGAGTGCAGCATGAGGCAATAGTTGCAGGATACGACGAAAATTGAGGTCCTTGGAAGCCGCCTACAAGAGAGAAGGTGCGCTTGGATTTGCCAAGTTTCAGTTGTTATTGTTCTTTTCTTCTATGGTTGTACTATGCCTTCAACTAAAACCGTTGCTATACAAGTCTACCAGTTAGACTGCCTTTCTTTGGGCGTTGCATCGCCCTGGCAGCTCATTGGACTGGACTCCTTCGGAGTTCGGAGACTTCCTCGAGGAACTGGGGGATTTGTCTTGGTGCCACGCTCAGGGTGCCAGGAGGTGTTTTTCTTTTTGTTTAGACTGCTTTCAACCTGTAGAACTTAGCCTTTCATCTTTGCAAATATATAAACATGTTTCAGGTCTGGCAGGCTTGGGTGAACATGTATTCATTACTGCCATAGGTTTGAACCAACGAATGTTTTGGCTCAAGTGACTTGGCCAAAATAGCGTTTGTTCTCTCTTTTTGAGGGCGGAACCCTTGGAGAGACAGTTCTTTTTTTGTGCAGGGAGGGACCCTGTTTTCCCATGAGCGAGTTGGGAACAAGCCTTGCTGCCTACACCAGGTACCAGGTGATCCATGCCGCCGCGTGGATGGAGTTCAGCGCTCACCTTCAGGAGCTGGTTGCTGAGGGGCGCGAGCGGGAAGCTTTGCGCCTCTGGGCCTCCGTGGTGGAGTTGGTGCATCTGGGGTCTCCAGGGCAACCCCTCTCCATCGCTGGGTTCCCCCCGGTTCGTCGGTTCGTATGTACCACCGTTCCGTGTGCAAGGTGCACCGACCGTCGGGGCGGCTTCCAGTTCCCATGGGTGGGCGTGTGGAACCGCCGCTGCTTGCTGGTTCAAGAGGGACTTGGGCCAGCGGTCGCGTGGCAGCGTTACCATGCCTCTGCGGCGCGCTTGGACCGCTTGGCGCTGCAGTGGATTGCCTTTGACCTGGGCCCGTTGGACATCTTGCCGGTCCACGTTGGTTTGGCCGTGGAGCGGCTGGACGACGGGGACGATGGCATCGACACCGAGGAGTTCTTCGAGCTGGTTCGGCTTTGGCAGCGGGGAGGCAGCCATGGCGGGAACCATGGTCGTCCCTGGTTGGGACCCCAGGTATTCCCCGGGAAGTCGCGAATGCAGGCCGATCCATCCGTGCGATCCTGGGGGCCGTGGCCTATGACGTTGAGTACACACCCCCCCTCTGCCTCCTTTGTCGCCTGCCCACGTTCGAGTCCTGTCGAGTCTGTCGATCGATCGTTTGTGAGAGCTGCAACTTCTGGTCACGGCAGTGCCCGTTGTGCATCGACAGTTCTGGCTCAGACTAGTGCGATAGTCCTTGCAGGGCTCATGGCTGACAGGGGGCGCTATGCGGTCGAGTCAGCGGGGAGCTCCAGGTGGGACCCGGAGACCTCGTCTGAAGTGGCCCAAGCCGCCCGTGTTCGCGAGTTCAGGGAGCAATACCACCTCTTGGACGACGCGGACTTCGCCTTTGCCTTTCGGTCAGCGGAAGAGGCCTTGTTGGCCGGGGGCCGGGGATTGGCCGATGCTTGGACCAAGGCCCGCTCCGCGCAGACTGAGGAGCTGATGCCGTTGGCGGCCTCTACAGTGGAAGCCGGCTCGAGTCGCGACAGGCCGGCACATGCTCTTCACCCACCCGCTCCTCCAGTGCCTGTTCGGAAGGGAGTGACCCTTTCTCAACAAGCTTTCAGTGCTGACAGTGTGAACAGGCGAGTGGAAGCGCTGGCCAAGGTGTTTGAGGACGCCGGGATTCATCGCCCTTCCGTGGGGAACCTCTCAGATGCGATCCTAGCTGAGTGGAAACTGCAACTCACTCGCTTGGCGCAGGTCAAAGTGACCAAATCGGAACCTCAGACAGTGGTGAACGCTGTGCGCACGTGGTCGGAATTGGTCAGCTTTATGCGTTCTCGAGATAGGACTACGATAGAGCATTTGGATTTGGCGTCATTCCTGGCCTCCGGCTCCAAAGGACCTAAGCGGGCATTGAACTCGCTTCGCTGGTTGAATAAACTGGGGCATTTGGGGTGGCAGTTGGATGCGATCGTGCTGGATCCACCTGCCTCCCGGCGGGCCGCTGCGCGATCCCAGGCTCTCGTTGTCGAGCCGCCCATGCTCACCCACTTGGAGCGTGGCATCAAGGAAGCCTTCACCCGACAGGACCCTCGCTGGACTGCGATGCTGGGAAGTTGGATCGTTGGCGTAGGGGTACTACGCTACCGGCATGTCCAACGTGCTCAGATGGTGCGATTGCCCCGCTCAACGATGTACTGCCATTGCCCCAAAGGGAAACAGGCGAGCAAACGTGATGGCTTCGACTTCTCCATCCCTTCGCAGTTCACAGATGGCTGGCCCTGGGCAGAGCATGTGGTGGCCCTTCGGAACCAGTTGCCCGAGGCCCAACGAGATGAAGGCGGCCTCTGCTTCAATCGGGAAGGCCGCGCGTGGGACATCTCTGAGGTGCAAGCCGCAGGTCGTGAGCTGTTCCAGGACCTTGTGACCGACGTGGCTGACCTCTCCACCTACTCGTGGCGCCGGCTCATGCCCACCGTGGCGTTGCTGGCCAAGTACACCCCGGTTGAGATGGTGGCCTTGGGGGATTGGCAATCCAAGAGTGAGCTACCTCAGGAGGCCGCCATGCCGACACACTACGCAGGCAGCCGTGATCTCGTTAGCATGAGGCTCAAACATCTGTCGCTGGGACTTGTCGCCAGGTTGGGCGAATTTGATGCCTGGGAACTGGCAACTCCAGCCGCCATCACTGCCGCAGTGGACGCGGCCAAGCCCGAGGTGCAGCGGGCGGTGAGCCTCGACAAGCACAGCTTGTGGGACAAGCCGATGTCGGTGGCAGCAGCGCAGCGCGCGTTCGCTTTTTCGCGAGAGCGTGCAGCGCTCACAAGAGCGGCGCAAGCTAGTTCCAAGCGCTCCGAAGCTGTGATGCCCCCCTCCATCAATGGCAAGGTGGTCACCCGTTTCCTGAGGAACGGCAAGGCGCTATGCCCCAACTTTCAGTTGGACGCCTGCCACGTGGGCGAGGGGACCTGTGGTGAAGCCCACCTTTGTGCCATCGTGCTGAAGACTGGCCGTGCCTGCGGAGGGAAGCATCCAGCTCAGGCTTGCTTGGCAAAGCGCTATGTGGTGGCCGAGGATGTCGAGCACACCCCGCTGGCGAACGTCGCAGTGCCCAGCACCGCAGAGCCAGTCGCTCTCCCCGTGGCCGACGCCCCTGAGGCTCCACATCGAGCATCATCGCCAGAGAGCACCTCCAGTGAAGATGAGTCCTCAGCAGGCCCTCGCTCCCCGAGTGCGTCCCCGAGTCCAGTCCCGGCTCCCAAGACCAAGAAGCTGCGCACCGTGCCACCCCCGGACACTGAGGCAGTACCCTCTCCAGCGCAGCCCGTGGCACCCAAGGCAATGCCGCCCTCGGTGGCAGCGACAGCTGCGGCGCCCAAAGCCTCGGAGGTCATTCCACCATGGCGAGCAGCAGCAGCCGAAGCAACGGAGGCTCCCAGCGACATCTTCGAGATGCCCGAGCCCCCGGCCGCGTTCACACCCAATGTGCACGACCAGCGGTGGGACCGCTTGGCCACCGTGCGGGGGAAGAGCGCGCAGGCGCCGACCAAAGTGCTGTCCGTCCAAAGTGGCGGCGCGTTGTGGTTGGGTGGATTGCCTACGAACAGGTCAGCATCAGCCTTTCCATCCGTCACTCTTCAAGTGGCATGCATGCTTGAGGAGCCTTCGCAGCGGGGTGGCATTTGCTTGCAGGGAGCGACCCTGCGCAAGTTCGCTATCGCCCACCCTGATAGGCGAGACGAGCAATGGCGCGACCTGTTTCCGCTCCTGTGCAATACGTTGTGGGGAGGTGAGGATGTGCTCCTCCACTGCATTAGTGGCCGGCATCGCGCGGCGGGTGCCGCGTGTATGATCCGAGCCATTCTGCTCCGGGAGCGCTTTGAAGCAGCTTGGGACTACTTGGCAAGTGTGAGGGATGTCGACATCCAAGGCTTGCTGAGAGACAGGGCCTTGGCTGGTTGGATCCATGAGACCCTTCGCACATCTAGTCTGGGCAATGCCTGGCCCCGGCCAACCGGATACATCGCGACCGCCCGCAGTCAGTTGCACATCCAGGGCTATGAGGACACTCCCCTCTGCTCACATCGCCAGAGCGGCCAGAAGAGCAAAGGGCGTTTGGCAAACCCGTCGAAGTGTACCTCGAAGATGGAGGCGATTGCCTGGGGCAGGCCAACATGCCAAGTTTGCGCCAATAGAGCACCAGCCTCCTGGATCCCTTGAGGAGGCTGTGGCACCTGTTTTCATCTTGTCGCACAGCGACACATAAGAGCAGCTAGCCCCCTTTTGGCGATGGAGTGATCCGTTGCCCGTGGCGAGCTTGACCAAGACAGCGTGAAAACAGAGCGCAGTCGCCTGACAGGGGCATTCGGCGAGGGGGGAGTTTCGCCTAGGCGGTTAGGATCGAGGTGCAGGGAGAATTGACCGAGCCGCAGAAGCATGTCCATGAGGACGTCGTTCGGTCTGTCCCTATGTCTTCCTTCCCCCCCCCTCTCCGGACTCGTCACGGCCGTAGTCATTGCGCAGGAGGAGAGGGACTCCTCCGAGCGGGCAGCTTTGGCTTAGGCGCGTGGGAAGGGATCCCCGAGACAGCATGGCTAGTTCTTTGAGCTTAGTGCCGAGGGAGTCTTCGAGGATTGAAGATTCTCTGAAGGCGCTAGGCACGAACTTCAGCCTTGACCCTGTTGTTGTGGAAGCCTTGATCAAGACCGGTATCTCTAATTTTGAAGAATTTCGATTTTTCTTTGACAGTGAGGGCGCGGTTGAGCCATGGCTCTCAAAGCTGTCGCTTGGGGATGGCAAGATGCTTCAGGTGTCCCGCTTGCGGCGGGCATGGCACGCCATCACCCTCTATTTCAGGCAAATGGAGCAAGATCGCTCCAAGGTGGCCTCTGATGACCTCGATTCCATGCTTGGAGAGACCGAGCTGAGGGACACCAAGGTCAGCTTCTGGCGGAGGTACCGCCAACGATTTCCCCCGGAAGTGCATCCGTCTGACTCCACCCTCTCGAGGGTGAGCCGAGAGATGAGCAAGCGGATGCTGTGCGTGTTCTCCATATGGAAGGTCAAGTCCTTGCAGTTTCAATTGATGACTACGCATAAGAAGCGCAAACTCGGCGACAACTTGTTCACTGAGGAAGTTGAAGAAGAAGAGCCGTCTGCCCGTGACACCGAGGCCTATTTGGACAAGTTGCAGACGTTGATGGTGGCGTACGCCATGGCAGGGGTGGGACCTTTGCCTGCGCCAGGGCCAGGGTTTGATCCCAAAGAAGAATTGACTTTGGGAGCAGACAGCACTCGATTCGCCCAAGTGCCACTGGACATCGCAATGCAATATTTCTTTCGAGCGAAACGAGCCACTGCCGCACTCCCTCCAGGCAAGCGGCTGGCATGGCTCCAAACCCGTGATGCCGAAGAACGGGCAGAGTGGACGGCACGCTTTCGGGAAAGCTCTCAGTCGCTCGGCGTCATTATTAAAGAAGTCTACCAAGCGCGAGATGCACACTGGCTGCCGCCCACACCAGCAGAGCCAGCGTCCACCGCCCCGGGTAAGAGCGCTCCGCCAGCAGCCGCTCCAGCGGCCTCCAAGTTTGCATTGGGGAAATCGATCCAAGGCAAACAAGTGGCCAGGGTACTCCGTGATGGGACGCTCCTTTGCCAGGCATTCCAGGAAGGATCTTGCAAGAGTAAGGGGGGCAAATGCAAGCTTGGCCAACATCGTTGCGGCCACGTTACCAAGAAGGAGCGGGTGTGTGGAGCTCCGAACCATGGGGCAGCAGCTTGCCGCAACACCCCGAAGGCCTGACGGGGCCTTGAAGAGGCAGCGGCAGCCTCTTCAGGGTCTGTTGAGGATCCGCCGCAATCAGGGGAGGGACCCCTGATGGCCGACCTGATGTCAGGACCCAATGCACCGCTTACCAGAGCCTTCATCTTCTGCGGCTGGAGATGCATCACCATCGACTGGTTGATCAACCCTCAACATGACCTCGCGCGCCCGGAGTTTCAGCAAGAGCTTCACGAGATGTTGCAGCAAGCCGATTGCATCTGTGCCGCTTTGGACTGTAGCACCAAGTCCCGCGCTCGAGAGATTCCCAGGAAGTTCGAGGACGGCCGACCCGCTCCGAAACCCCTGCGGTCAGACGAACACCCCACAGGCCTTCCACACCTCCGAGGGAGTGACCTTCGGCGAGTGACCAAGGACAACCAGGCCTGTGACTTTGTCCTCCAGGAGATCCAGGAATTGGCCGATCGTGGTGGAGTGTCACTGCGGGAGAATCCGGCGAGGAGCCTCCATTGGGAACTGCCCCGCGAGAAGCAGATGTTGGCGTCCGGCGATTGGCAGGACACCTGCTACGCAGCATGTTGCTTCATGGGGGCGCGGTGCAAGCAGCAGAGACTCAGGCACAACATCCAGGAGATCTCCCAGTGGCCGCCGCTCCAATGCCATCATCAGCACGACCCAGATGAGTGGAAGCCCTACACCTTGGATGGGCAGCGAGTCTTCCCTAGCCATGAGGAGGCTGAGTACACAGCCCCGCTGGCCTTCGCCATTGCGGTGTCCACTAGTTGGTGGGCAGTACGTGTTGGTCGAGCCAAGTTGCGCGTCCCTCGGATGCCGCCGACTGAGGCTGTGGGCCGCCGGGAGCACTGGCTTCACTATGACCCCCGCTCTATGCGCAGCTGGGCTATGACTCCTTTGGCGATCCAGCTGTGTCTGCGACCAATCGACCCGCGCGAGCGAGCACGGGTGCCTCGCGTTCGTCGAGCAGTCGACCTCTTGGTGGATGGCCACCTTCCCGCCAAGTGCATCTACGTAGGGCGAGGGCATCACAGCCACAAGTTGCCCCTGTCGAAATGGTGCTCTCCGTACACCCCAGGACATGATTGTACCGCAGATGAATGGCTTCCTTGCTATGTTGAGTTCATCATGTCATCCAAGGCGGCGGAACTCCCAGAGCTGGCGGGCTGCACTTTAGCCTGTGATTGCCCACATGACAGTGACATTTGCGAAGCCGATGCGCTGGCAGGGTTGGTTTTTGACGCCACAGCCCCGGAAGCACCTCGCTACTTGGCAGCGGCAGGCGGGCAAGCCCAGAGGCATCACTCGACAACATCTCGAGCATTGCGGTTGGGGGTCATCTCCAGCCGCGGAGTGGCTGCGAGCATCCCAGCACGAGTGGGCCTATTCACCCAAGAAGGCGTTGTTACGTGCTTCCGCCGCCTCTTCCCAGGTACATGGTTCCAGGACTTCAAGTTCCCGATGATCGAAGACCTCCTGAATCAGGCACCGTTCTGCGAGTTTCCACGCTGGAGAGACCGGTACGATCTCAAGGCAGATGGGCCCCTGGGACCACACTTGGCTAGCGCAGCTCTGAGGCAGAGGCAACGTCATGCCGAGGGCCAGCAAGCCGGAGCTTTGAGCCATAAAGCCGCCCTACCTCCGCTGTTGAGTTTTGGGCTGGACCCGGACACCCACTTTCAGCGCGCTTGCCTTCGAAGCCAGGCACCCATCCCGACTGAGCAGTCGCCCCTTCTGGACGATGATCTATATGGTTTGTGGCTGAACTCTATGCATCACGTTCCAAAGACCTACCACGACTCCGCGAGCAGAGCCTAGGCATCTTGAAGGAGCTGAAGCAGCGATGGAAGAGCGTGGGCGAGCACCTGCGGACTTTCCAAACATCAGCGATTCGGGCAGTCACCCGTTCCAGGGACATCGGACTAACAGCCCTCTTGGTGACCCTAACGTCCTGGGCGGATATCACGTATCCTTACGGCTTGGTAGCGGGACTGCCAGCTGTAGGTACGGCACCGCCCTACGGGGTCTTTCCGGAGCAGCCAGGTCGTACCCTCACCATGGAGGACGTGCTCGACGACTGGGAAACCCACAATTACAAGACCCTCGCCTCGCTCAAACCCGGCAGACATGATGCCGTGCTGCTGGAGCAATCGCTGAATGATGCCGCCCAAGGCTTCTGCTCTGCACCGTTGACCCAGGCGCAGCTCCTACGAGAACTACGAGGAGAACCATTCCGCCTCATCCCCCGATGTGTGATTGTCCAATCCTCGGGCAAAAAGCGGATCATTGATAATGGAGATACAGGAGGCCAGTCTGAGAGGTCTTCGGATTGGAACAAATTGGTTCTATGCTCGCCGTTGCGCCCTGCACAACATGTGGGGGCGGTTGCTTCACTGCTGACAGACCAACAGTGGCACACTCTTACGACTGCTGACGAGTGGCTGTCAGGAGGGGAAGATTGGCCGAACGCGTATCGGCATTCCCCTATCAGTCAGGCAGAGAGCCGCGGCTGTATCGTCTGCTTCTGGCATGCTGAGCGGGGGGAACCCGCCTTTCAGGTGTATTCATCCATCCTCTTCGGCCTTCCGCTCGCGGTTACATCGTTCAATCGGTATTCCCGCCTCATTGAAGCACTGGGCCGACGGCTTACATACAGTCTGGTGTCGCTCTATTTCGATGATGCCCACATCACGGACCTCCAGTCAGGCTTCGGCTCCAGCCAACAAGCTTTCTGTCAGTTGAACGCCCTCTTAGGTACCCCGTTTGCCGAGGAGAAGAAACAGTTGATGCAGCCTACCGGTACCTTTCTGGGCCTTGATCACGACTTTACGAACCTCAGTCGGGGCTTCGTGACGTTTTGGGCCCGAGATCGATTGATTCAGAAGACAGCTGCGATGATTACCGAAGCACAGGCACACAACAGCCTGTCCTCAGGCCAGGCATCCAAGCTCTACGGCATGCTCAATTTTCTCGAGCAGGGCATGTACGGAAGGTTGGGATGCGCAGGTCTGGCAGCCATTAAAGCACGCCAGACAGAGCGCAACCGCGACCTCACTCCAGAGCTTCAGCGCAACTTCGATGTGATTCACTCCATTCTTCGCCATCGACCCTGTCGAGAACTTCCCGTGAGGCCGTCCGAATGTTTGCGGTTTGTTGTAGCTTCTGACGCAGCTTTGGAGGAACCAAAGCAGGGCACAGGAGGCTTTTTAATCGTCTGGCGCGATCCGGTGGGACCGGTTCGGGAAGCCTTCATCGCCAACATTTCTCCGGAAGTTTACCAGCTGTGGGAGCCTGGTGACAGGCAGATAGCCCAGTTGGAGATGGTGATGATCATTTATGCCCTCACATATCGGGCGCAGGCCTTTCGAGGTCGTCGAGGCATCTGGCTGATCGACAACGTCGCTAGCCTCATGTGTCTGATTCGGGGCCGTTCCCAGTCACCCGATCTGGAGCGCATGTGTGGTTTGATTCATGTCACGCTGTACGCTTTGCGTACCTGGATGTATTGGGAATACATTCCGTCTAAGAGTAATTGGGCCGACGCAATTTCAAGACTAGGTTGGTCCGATCCGTGGTGGCGAACCAACGGATTCACCCCTTTTTCCGTCTCTTGCCCTCTCTGCCTTTGGCACCTTCCGCTGCCAGCAGTGATCCGAGTCGTAGAATTTCTCTAAGTGCGTTGGGAGGATTTGAAGTGCATTGGGAGTGGTTTCCGGAGTGACCGGAAGGATACCACAAGGGTCTGATT